GGGGGGGGGGTATTGTTTGTTTGTTTGAATCCTTGGACTTGGTTTATTTAGGGTCATTTGTACATACTACAGCTCAAGAGTCTACTTTATTCTACAAGACAGATAGTGAAATGCTGGCCTAGGGTGTCTGCTTTACATTTGGGATATATGAAACGTGGAGTGCTTGTAGGGTTGTGGTACTGGACAGCCTTCAAAAGCTACAACTAGGGAACCTCCTAGCTCGTCAACGATACAAGCTTGGTTGAGATCCTCTGGCCCATTTGCTTGGCATTCATGCTTTATGCCTTGAAATTTCTTGTTGATAGCATGCTTGGAGCTTGTGTAGATCGTCTTGCTAGTTTTGGTGCCCACAAGAAAAACATCGACGCTTCTTTTTTTTGGATTCCTTTGTTTCTGCACCTGATTCACTGTATTCAACGTGCTCTCGGGGTTTCATGCTCCAGTCCAGTATTGTAGAAGAGGATAAATTATTATACACAGAACATGAGGAGCACGTGGAACAAACGTATCTTTAGATGCTTCCATGTGCTTCTTTGTAAATCATTATGTGTAAAACAGATTTATGTGCCTCCTGCTTTTGCTCAGCCAGAATATTCCCCCCACAAAATCAAAGGAAAACTGTATATCATGTGGAGCCTGGGTAAACTTCTCAAACAGCAGCCTGCTGTGCAAGTGAAATGTGTGCCAGAGCAGTAATGAGACATTTGGGAATGTTAAATGGGCATGGCGCTGACTGGAGAAACAATCTTGCCCCCCTGGAGCTGCTCTGCAAGCATTTGGACTCACAGGTTCACAGCGTAAACAGTTTGGCATAGCTCAGACATTTTGCCCTGGCACAGCACTCAAGCTGACAAGAAAGAGGAGCAAGGGAATACTATTTTCAAAGGGGCAGAAATCCAAACCCATTTATTCTGATAGTAAATTTCTCTCTTGGGATCATGCATAATTAAGAACCTTGATTTTTTTTTTCTTGTGGTGTGGCCCCCTCTGTCAAGAGTGGATGGATTTTGTTGAATTAGAAAATTTACGTGTTTGCTTTTCAGTGGTGAATGCAATTCTAAAGAGACTCGTAGTCCTGCTTGTTCATTCAGTCAGCTGTGTTCAGATTGCTACACAAGAGCAAATAAGGACATGGAGCTTATGATCTCTGTTCCACAGCTGATCAGGATCCAGTCTCTAAGCAGTGCAGTTCAATCATCTTTCTCCTTACAGTGGCTTTCTAGGCCCCTGGGCTAGAGAGAGCGAGTATGCATGAGAGAGCCTAAGTCCTTAGATTCCAATTCCTGTTCCAATGAACTATTTATATAACGTGAAACGTGTTCAATCACAGGTGGATCCAGGATTTTAAAAGTGCAGTGTAGGAGTAGCAACCAGTGCTGCAGGGGTAGCTACATCCCTGCTTCCAACCTTCCCGTTCGCACCACTGTACCTCCCCCATGATGTGCTCCTGCCCTCAACAGGGGAGACTATAGGATTCACCCCAGAATACTATAAAGACCAGGCTATACAGAACTCGGCTGATCACAGAAAAGAAGCACTGGAAAGGACCTCAGGAGGCCATCTAGTCCAATCCCCTGCTCAAGGCAGGATCGTCCCTATCTAAACCATCCTAGACAAATACTTTTTGTACTCTTTTCTTGAAAACTTCAAACACCCTTCCTTGTACAACTACCAGGCATAATGCCTGAAACACGAAAAACACCCTAACTTGCTATATATAGTTAAAGTGGAGGGACAACGGCACTGTTAATGTCCTGACATTGCAAAGAGTGATGTTCAAGGATGAGGACCATGCCGCCTGTTGCAGAAGAAAGCCAAAACTCCTACAGAACTTATCAATATGACTCAGGGTAAAATTTTTCTTGTCCAAGTGTGAAAATCAGTCTGACCCTAAGGGGAACAGCAAGACCTAGCCAGGGACCACTGGGTTTTTTTCAGTTCCAGCAGGAGCAGCAGCATCTCCATCGAAATACTTAGTCTTGGCAAACAAAAATGCCCTGCCATGTAGCACCAGGAAGGGAAAAAATTCTTTCCCAGCCCCATGTGGCAACCAGCAAAACGTAGAAGCATGGGGTAACCAAATCTGAAGACACCTTCCATCTTCAGATCCCTTCTCTGAATGAAGCAAAGGGGATTTGAAAGCCAGTCTCCCCCCCGCCGTGAGACCTCTAAGGAATGGAATGGGGGCCACCTCTTCCTCTTCTTTGATTTTCTAACCCCTGCCTTGTGAACAGAGCCTGAAAAACCAAAGCATTTTACTTTAAAAAAATCAAAAAAATTATTTATTTTGACAGTTCCTATAGTTTTTCATCTTAACTTTTGTTTCAGCCAAGACCACTTGTGAGAGTTTTCCTGAATTCATAAACAATCTTTGGCTGCCCTGAACTGCATTTCCAGTGAATAACTAATTTGTAAAAAAAAATAAGGAAATTGTCCTGCTTTAGTTATGAACCAAACAGCACGGTTAAAAGTAATGAACTACAGTAGGTGGCTTTAATAAGCATCCATTTGATTTTCTTTCCATTTTAACATAAGGTACAGGCTGTTCTTTCCACCTCTGGGCTGACTTCCCTGGTGAGACTAACAACTACACAAGACCCTTTTAAAATGAAGCAGGGAACTCCAAACTGGAACAGTTTCTCATCAAATATATGTACCAGGAAGATTTAAACGCATTATCAAAAGGCAACAAATCATTGGCGGCTTACCAATGCAAGTACAGCCAATGTAGGGTTTTCTTTTTTGGGGGAAGGGGAGGAGGGGGAGGGTTGCAATTCAGAAATATTTTATATCTCAGAATAATTTTCTCTCTCTGACTGGCTCTCTCATCAATCAAGCTTACAAAAGTGCTGGTGAATCATTTTCTTGTATTTCTTTATTGCATCGTGCTTGGTCTTCATATAGGGGTGCTTAATGGAAATGCTAGAAGACTTTTGTACCTGTGAACAAGCATTTGCTTTCTTAGATTTTATTTTTAAGAAGTCGGGTAACTCCTTGTCAAATTGCTTTAGATTTTGCCTCCAAGTCTACCCTGACCTGCCTTACCACATTGTGGGCTGATTTAGCTTTTATTATAAATGTTAATGATGCAAAATTTGCCCTTAAAATTCAAACTCCACCACAACCCAAATGATG